CTTCGGTGTGTGACTGAAAGCCGCGGATTGACCCACCAAACTTGCACTTCAAAGGACAAGCAGCCGGGCCTTAGCTAACCCCTGCCCAGGCAGCGCCCCTAGCGACCGAGGGCTTGGAGCGCCCCCTAGCGGCGCGGGCTCCGGGGAGCCCAGTGCGCGGCTGGCCCAGGGATGGGCTAGGGCTGGGAACTGGAGACCAGCACAGCTTTCGCCCCTAGAGCAAAACGAGTGGGAACACGCTGCGCTACTTCACGGCAGAGTGTCTCATTGTGTCAACAAGAGTGTGGAGCTCCGCACTCCATCACCACATGGATGGGCCGTTTGCTGCTTTCCAGCTCTGTGCGAAATAGGAAGGCAGCTGGCCCTTCATCGCCAGCCCAAGACACAGCCTCCCCAGAGGAACCTTTTAGTTGACAGTTTCTGAAAATAAATGGCTAGCAATCCTGAGTGTTTTCACGACCTTGCAATTCAGCTTCGACCTTTGTCCACCTCATTCACTAGATTAATCATGCTACTTCCTGGCTGCGGCAGAAAAAGATACACACTGACCTCCAAATTCTTAACATGTTTGAGAATGGAAAGTTGGGTCTGAATATCCAAGTAACACTCTGCCATGGCTGTGACTGAAGTCTAACAACAGCTAGAACAGATGCCCTCAGCCCTGTCCCCAGGCCCGGGGCAGGGTAAGGCAGGGACCAACATCTCTGGCCTCCTGCTGTTTGAGGAGCTGTATTGGTCATTCTGTTGGTCTCTGTGTGCCTTGAGAAAGGTCTGTGTCTTTGTCCCCAAAGACTCCACGGAGGAGGCTTCTCCTCTGGTGCTGTACAAGGTCACCAGATGAGGGTGAGATGTCCTTCAGAGATTTTTTTGGTGCTAGAGCAACGACTGTAAAACCTTTAGAGAAGTAAGCTGGAGAGCCTGCGGGTGCATTGCACTGGGAGAGGCAGTGTCCAGCGAGGCAGAGTGGGGTGTAGGTACCCCTTCTTCCCTGGCCTCCGGGGACCAGCAGGAGGCCCCTGACTTCACTGTGTCTGGAGGGCAGCAGGGGATCAGCTTGAAAGAACAAACAGAAGGATCCCATCACTTGGTAAGACAGTTCACACCTGTGGCCTTGTGGACATGCTTAAGAAATCTACTACCAAGCCAGGCCAGCGAGCAGTGTCCCCGTCTTGCAGTAACGGGCCAGACACTCAGAAAGATGAAGTCGTTGTCTGCAACCTCAGATTTTGCTAGAAGAAGACCCATCTCTCCCACTCGGCTCTTCCCAGTACTGCTCTCCCCGAGGCACAGAGAGCCCAGAGCTCGTTTCTCCAGTGGTAGGCCACGCTTCAGGGATGAGGGGGAAAGGGTAATCCTGGTTCTTTCATTTAATACTTCATTTTAAAAAGAAAACTAAGGACAAAGTGTCATTTCAAACCCCAAATCCAGGAGTGGAGTCGGGTGATATTCTTCATCAGCCTGGTCGGTTGCTTTTTGTGTTCTTCTAGTCTCAGTGGAAAGGACGCCCTAGGAACAGGAATCCCTACTGTTTATTCTGTTCCTAGCCTCATCTTCCCCCTCTTTCCTTTCCCCATCCCCAGCCTTGCCAATGTGTAAACAATTTGGAAAAATCCCCAATGAGCTGAAAACCTGTCCGTGTTACTCCAGCTGGAAAGAATTGTGCTCCACCAAGATTCAGGCCCCACGTAGAATGGAAACCCTGACGGCGATGCGGTAATTATAGCCTTGCCATAATGAGTGTATCAGTGTGGACTTTTCCATGGTATTTTTCCATGGGAGGTTTCCTCCTGTGAGATGTTAACTTAAGATCTGGATTATAGCTTTCACTTCAGAGCAGGCGATGCTGCAGCCTGAAGTCGGTGATGACGCTGGCTCTGGTAGCGTGGATCACAAGGGGGACACTGGTCACACTGATTCTGGACCAAACAGCCTTCCCCAAGGAACAGAAGATTACGGGAACCATCGAATTCCCTGCAGGTGCCCCTTGTGAGAGGCGTGGCAGGCATCCAGCAAACGCCTCTTTTCTGGAATTCAGCAAGGACTTTCTCAAGGACTAGGAGCAAAGCTTCTGAAGGGCCATTCCGGATACGGGTCTCAGCAGACAACCCCCCACCTTTGTAGTGGGGGCTCCGATACCTTAGAACACAACTGCCCCCCTCTCACACTGGAAGGGGCTGCTCTCAGCAGGGGAGGGGAGTTTCCAAAGCCAAGGAGGCCGGGAGCACCCAGTTTGCTGCCACCCACCTGAAGGACAAGGCTCTGGCTGCCACTGGGCCCCATCTGAACCGTGCTGTTGGTGAGGGCAGCAGCCAACCCACAGGGACCAGTGAAGGAAATGAAAGTCCCGGGCCCTCTCTTCTCAGACGCCATCGTGGGCCAGCGCTCACCGGAAGCCGGAGGACTTGGAGCCTCCCACACAGCTCCCATGGCCCAGAATGGGCAGACCGGGCAGAGGGGAGACTGAAAATCCCTGAGGGTTGCCACGGGACATGCCCTCCAGATGCCCAAACGGCCCCCATGCCGTGGCCTCTGTGTGTGTCCACTTCACATGGTGGTCCTCTCCCTGGTGCCTGCTGTCTGCACTCTGTGGGCTCTGGCCTGTGGCTGCAGAGCCTTCACGGGCTCGTCCACATTACTCATTTAGACTTTATTAGGAAAAGCAGAAGGGAGATTCTGCACCTTCTGCCGACTCCTACACGACAGAAGAAATCCTGGAGGGAGACATTTGAGGACCTCTCTGGCTCTCGGTAACACAGGAATGGCCCAGCAAAGACAGCCGTGGCCCCTCACTGCTCACCCTCCTCCTTTAAGGACAAACAGCACAAAACAGCATCACAAACAGCACAAAATCTCAGTGACATGGACCAGCACTGCACACCACTCAGGTTGGGTCTGTGGGATCTAAGGGACCCCTCCTCGGCTGTGGTCCAGGTTCCATCCACTCACACCCCAGGCTACGGGGCAGTGGCCAGGCCCTTCATTCTTCTAGAGAGGAAGGTTGGAAATTGCCTGACGGGTGGGTGGACACACAGGCGTAGGACCCACCAGCCCAGGTTCCCTGCTGGGGATGACCCTCTCCGCAGAGGTGGGCAGAACAGGCAGCACCTTCACTCCCCCGGAACCCTGTCTGTCCATCATGTGATCCTGGAGTTCACAGTGCTCCAGTTATAGCAGCCCAAAGGATTAATGCTCCGCTGCCAAGGGCTCTGAATCCAGAAATGGATTCTATGCATATCCTACAAGTTCAGCATTTCTAAATCAAAAAATAGGTTTAACACTCATATCCCAAAAGTTCTGCTTTCAAGTGTCAACAAGAGGTCTGACATACATTTTCTCTTGCTGCTCTGCAGAGTAGGGGAAGTGCCTTCAATTCCACAAAACCTAGAAAGGCAAACAGGATGCTCAGAGATCTGGGGGGGGGGGAATAATCCAGAAAGCAGGGCCCTTGAGGAAAGCACCACCTAGCTTTCCTCCGTTGCCTCTTTCATCATAGAGAAAGAAGCTCGGTCCTGCTGGGGGGAGGCGTGGAGCAGGGGACCCCGCCACCACCCCCAGTGACTCCTCTGCTTTTGCCTCAGGAGAGGGAGCAGACCCGCTCCCCCCCAGGCGCAGGCAGACACGTTCGCCTGTTTTCCACGTATATTCTGTCACGTTGAGCACGAGGCCTGACGGTTCCTTCTGAGTCTTTTCATGGATGTGATCTCCAGCTACATGTTGACTACACTAGGGTTTTTAAGCACCATGAAAGGATTTTCCTTTGAAACTCAGTCTAGTTTCTCTCTTTAAGAGAGTATTGGTTTTCTGTGTTGAATTTGATCCTAGTTCTACATTATATGTATTCTATTCCTATATATTAAACTGTATTTTATATATACATATTTCTACATATGCTTATTTCTACTTCAGATGACTGGCTGTCCTGGCCTCCCCAGGGTTTCCATTCTACGTGGGGCCTGAATCTTGGTGGAGCACAATTCTTTCCAGCTGGAGTAACACGGACAGGTTTTCAGCTCATTGGGGATTTTTCCAAATTGTTTACACATTGGCAAGGCTGGGGATGGGGAAAGGAAAGAGGGGGAAGATGAGGCTAGGAACAGAATAAACAGTAGGGATTCCTGTTCCTAGGGCGTCCTTTCCACTGAGACTAGAAGAACACAAAAAGCAACCGACCAGGCTGATGAAGAATATCACCCGACTCCACTCCTGGATTTGGGGTTTGAAATGACACTTTGTCCTTAGTTTTCTTTTTAAAATGAAGTATTAAATGAAAGAACCAGGATTACCCTTTCCCCCTCATCCCTGAAGCGTGGCCTACCACTGGAGAAACGAGCTCTGGGCTCTCTGTGCCTCGGGCAGAGCAGTACTGGGAAGAGCCGAGTGGGAGAGATGGGTCTTCTTCTAGCAAAATCTGAGGTTGCAGATAACGACTTCATCTTTCTGAGTGTCTGGCCCGTTACTGCAAGACGGGGACACTGCTCGCTGTTCTCAGGGAAAAAAAAAGCAACCAATGAGGTGAAGAGAGAGGCAAATTTTTGCCACATGCATGTCAGGTAGAGTATTAATCTCCAGGATATAAAAAGAACTCAAAAAACTTAACACCAAAAAAATAAACAACCCAATCAGTACATGGGCCAAGGAACTGAACAGACGCTTCTTATAAACAAATCCAGCCCGCCTTTAGAGAGCCTCTTTATTTTTTTGAGCCTATCTCTGTTTAGTCAGTTTTTGTGCCTCTGTGACTAAGAGACCCGAAAAGAGCGATTTAGAGGAGGAAAAGCTTACTTGGGGGCTCAGGGTTCAGAGCTCTCAGTCCATAGACAGCCAGCTCCATTCTCGGGGCTCAAGGCGAGGCAGGACATCGTGGCAAAACAGTGTGGCAGAGGGAAGCGGTAATGATCGGGAAGCAGAGACTCTGTGCCCCCAGATACAAATATATACCCCAAGGCCACGCCCCTAATGCCCCACCCCCTCCAGCCACACCCCACCTACCTCCAGTCAGCACCCAGTTAATCCCACCAGGGACTAACTCACTGATTGGGTTAAGGCTCTCATTACCCAATCATTCCACCTGGAAACCTTCTTGATTGTCTCACTCTTGACCTCTCGGGGGACACCTCCCATCCAAACCGTAACAACCTAACTTCTTCTCCCAGAGGGGACACCTGGCCGTCCACAAGCTGCAGGCCATAGCTTTCATGCGTTTTCCTCTCCGCCATTCCTACTCAGGCAGGGAAACCCAGCCCCCAGGACCTGCAGGGAATATTACTCAGCATTAAAAGAATAAAATCATGGAATTTGCAGGTAAATGGATGGAGCTGGAGAACATCATGCTAAGTGAAATAAGCCAATCCCAAAAAAACTAAAGGCTGAATGTTTTCTCCAATAAGTGGATGCTAATCCATAATGGGGGGGGGTGTGCATGAGATAAGTGGAGGAACTTTGTCCTGCTGGCCTCCTCCACCTCACCTCTCCCTGGCTGCCTCCTGTCCTCTGCCCTCCACTGACCTCTCCCAGGCTGGACACCCATCCCCACTTGGAGCTCTGGGTCTTCAAAGCCAGCACAGAGCCTGTGACATTCCAGGAAAAATTAGCAAAATGGGGAGACTTTAGTCAGGGCTTGCAGCTCTGCTACCCGTGGTAAAAGGCATTGTGGCACAGGGAAAGTGGGCCTCAGACCGGCCACTGGAGATGGCACTGTGCTGTCCCTCAGAATGTCGGCGAGGCCTCTTCTGTCTCCTCAGGCTCCCTCTCCCGTCCCAGATCACAGCCCAAGCCACAGGCCCCCCAAAGAGCCAGCAGCAGGCCTTCTCTGTCTGCACCTGAGCCTGAACGTTTGCTAGTCCTGTCCCAGGGTGGGAGCTGATCTGAGGTGGACAGGCTGCCCTGGTCCACAGGTAAGTGCAACACCTGAGAGTAAGAGCCGGCCATGACCCTTCTTAGAAGCCGAGGTCACGAGAGCCCGTCCAGCTCCCCAGGTGGTTGTAGCCGCAGATAAGTGCCCTGGGAGCAAACCCCATGTCAGAGACCTGGGTGACGACCCCCTCCTGAGGCAGCAGCCCATTAGAGCAGCGAGCCAGGTTCCGGTGCCCAGGAGCGACTCTGCCCTCCTCCAGGTCTAAGCAGATGGGTGGCCACAGCACGGAGTCTGGGCAAAGGTGCAGCAGAGCCGTGTTGAGGGGCACTGGGGGGCAGTGGACAGTCAGCATGGCGGCTGTAAGGGAAGGAGAAGCCAGCGGGGACCAGAGGTGGGGGTGGAGGATGAGTCCAGCAGAGGCCTCAGCACCAGGTGGACCTTTCCCCCCAGCAGCTCACCTGGTAAGGAAAAGGAGCAGGCGGTAGTGAGGGGCCCACTGTCGGGAGGAGCGATGACCATGTGGCAGGCAGGAGGAGTGCCTCCCCACAGGAGCTGTGAGGCAGAGAAGAGCGACACCCCATCCAGAGTGTGCGGGTTTGACATCACCTCTGGGGAGCTGGTTAAAAACGTGGGAGATGATGCAGTTTGCTGGGGTCAGCTCCTGCACTGAGCAACCACCAGTCCTCACCATCAGTGTCTCCAGAATCAATGTGACCAGTGTCCCCCTTGTGATCCACGCTACCAGAGCCAGCGTCATCACCGACTTCAGGCTGCAGCATCGCCTGCTCTGAAGTGAAAGCTATAATCCAGATCTTAAGTTAACATCTCACAGGAGGAAACCTCCCATGGAAAAATACCATGGAAAAGTCCACACTGATACACTTGTTATGGCAAGGCTATAATTACCGCATCGCCGTCTCTGACTTGGGAGCTACATTAGAGAAGAAAAGTTGAACAAGCCAACTCCTATTACGGTGACCGCCTTCCTGGTTGGGGAGGGGGCAAGGGGTAGGAAAGATGGTGGAATGAGACGAACATCATTCTCTAGGTACATGCATGACTACACGAATGATGTTACTCCATGTATGACCAGAGAAGTGAAAAATTCTCCATTTGTGTACAAAGAATTGAAGAGCTTTCTACTATCATGTATAACTAATTAGAACTCAAAAAAATTAAAGGCGTGCTGGAATTGAGAATCAGAGGATGAATGGGAGGAATTGAGGGGCCCATGTTCTTCTCACTCAGCTGGTGAGAACCTAGGCAGAGGAGGAAAAAAAATGGATGATGTGAGGCACAGTGACTGTCACTATGACTTACTCATTCTTTTAAAACTCCCCATAGTTAATGTTTACTGTGGCATTGAAGTGTCTGATTGGCTTCCATGGCTGGTGACGAGGATGCCTGTGAGCTCACTGCTGATGTTTGTGTGGTCTTGGCCTGAGCGAGGCTGGCTTCTTGTCCTCTTTGGGGCTCCGATGCTGTCCCTGGACCCAGAGACACTTGGAGAGGAGAAACTCCCCACCCTAACAGCACACAGCCCTCCCCATGTCCTTTCTCTAGAGGGTTTATGATTGGATTTCCTTAGCCAGCGGTGAAGGAAGGCGCAGAGAAACGATGGAAATTCCTACCCACAGGGACAGCCTGTAGAGAGGAGTGAGGGCTGGCGGCCCTCGCTGGATGCACTTGAGTCTCACGTGGAATGGAGGAGGAAGCAGTGTTTGGAGATCAAGGAAAACCCTACTCTCAGGTTTCATCTCACGCCAGTCAGGATGGCAGTTATCAAAAGCAGACAAAGAACTGCTGGCCGGCTGGCCTGCGGGAAGGAGAGCTGGGATTTCACTGAAAAATACCATCCAGACTCTGCCAAAGAGCGGAGGAAATCTCAGAACGGCGTTTGCGGGTTCAGTTCTGTTGACTCCAGGCACTGTAGTTCTTGTCTGCTTCCAGAGTTTGCATTGTCTAGCTGTGTGACTCCAAGAAATAATGCAGTTGGAATACATTTAATAAAAAAATTAATAAGCACTCAGTGTCAGGAAAAGTTAGTTACAAAAGAACCCAGGGTAAAACAGAACTGAGTTTTACCTTTGTTTCCTAGTGCCACCAAGATGGGAAATGGGGACCATTCAGCTCACTGGAGGAGGTGAGCAGTCTGGGAGCCTCTTCACCTGGGTACACTGTGCTAGGATGTCCCCTGTGCAGGTGCCACGGGAGACGTTCTTGCGGGAGGTACAGGGGGCATCCAGTCCTGCTCCCTCATTTTTCAGGTGGGCAGATGGCGAGCCAGAGGAGGAAAAGCCCGTCCAAGGACGAAGACGTTGGAGGTGGTTTCTCTCATCATGGCACCCAGTGGCTGGCCCCATTTGTGACCTGTTGTCTCACTGTGACTGTGGTCAGATGTAAAAGCTTGCCTCGTGCTTCATCCTGTCCGGGCAGCTGCAGTCCCTCTGGATGGGCTCGGACTTGGGGGTGGATGTGAGGCGGGGCTCTTCAGCGGATCTCAGGCTCATCTGTGGCCACAGCCTCGGGGTGCCAACTACAGCAGGATGGCTCAGGGCCTCTGCCGGCTCCTGCCACTCCCCACCCTCGGAGCCACCCGGGGCTGGTCCAGGGAGGCCTGGGCTGGGGCGGAAGTGTCTGCACGGGCCTGCGCCTAGGATGGGGCTGATGTTGGCCACAGTGAGGGGGAAGGACTTGGCACCGGGCTGGGGCAAGGGAGGCTGGGCAGGGCTGCTCTCTCCCGGCATCCTCCTGGAGCGGGCCATCAGCAGGGTCATGGGGCTGCCCTCTTGGGGTGAGGACATGGCCACTTCCGTGGTGGCACTGAAGTACAGTGTTGTGCTCTCCTGTCCCTCGCTTCCTCTCAGCTGCCCCCCTGCAGTCCTCCCCTGCTCCCTGGGGGCAGCCCTGGCTCTCTCCTTTGGGTTGTCCTCCCCGCGTGTGGCTGATGGCTTCTGGGTGGGCACACTGTCCTGATGATCACTGGCAAAAGAGATGTAACTCGAGGTTTCCAAGGCGTCCACCTCTGCTTTTGGGGTCCCTTCAAACTTGGAGCCTTTCTCTAGGGTTGAAGCATCATGGGGGGATGACAGGTGGGCTTTCTGGGTACATAGGGTCTGCCCCTGCAGACTGCAGTGTTGACTGGACCCCCATGTGGGGGGACAAGGGCAGCCAGGACTGTCCTCTCCCAGGGCTGCGTTGATCTTGGGCACATTTCCTGTTTTTAGGGCAAGTTTCACCAGCAGCCAGTGGTGGCGGCTCAGGAGGGACCCTTCCCTGGAGCCTGGGTCCCCCGTCTCTGCCCCTGGAGGGCCCTGCTCTGGGCTGGGGGCCTTCTCCACACTGGCAGGCACCCAGCTTTCTCTGTGGCAGGACTCTGCGCTCTCAGGCCTTCCGGCTGCTGGAGCCGTGGTCTGGGGTGGGGCCTCCTGCTCTGCGCTGTCCCTGCCAGCAGGGCCTCGGCACGTCCTCACGAAGCCTGGCCAGATGTCTGTGGATTTGGGGTGTAGCAGGCTGTAATAAATAACCAGCGACACACTGCCTGAAAAGACAGAAAGAGAGTACCAGGTCAAGTTCTTGGAAGTCCTGCAGCCGCCTCGTGGTTTGCGGTTCCAGCCATTTTGAGTAGAGCAATATCAGTGGGATCCAAAGTGAGACTATTTGGAGCCTGAGAAATGCATGTTCTGGGGGAGTTTGCAGCTTCTAGAATTTGCAGCTCATCTTCAACTGGAACAAGAGAGCTTGACTCCTGCCGATTCTGGGTCTTCCTTCTCAAGCACACTCCCACTGAGTGCTCGGGTTGTGTGTGAGAATATGTGTGTACATGTGTATAGCGGGTGTGTAGCACGGGGATGTGTAGCATGTGGGAGTGGGCACACGTGTGTGAGTGTGCAACATGCCTAGAAGAGCTCTTAGTCAACACCCTGGGTGGAGGGGCCACAGGGCTCTGGTGCTGGCGGAGGGCTGCAGCCCAGGCCCATCCTGCTCCTGAATAGACACATCAAGGAATTTCCAGGAGCAGCAGCCGGGCTTCCTCTGTGTGCAAACATCTTGGTCACACTGTTGCCTTTTTCGTACATTTTGATCAGGAGTGTTGACTGCTGGGTAATCTCTTTAACAGAGCGTTCCAGTAAGCCTCCCACACAGCGCCCAGCTTCCTGCGGCACTGGAGGAGCACTGGGCAGGGCGCTCCTTATCAACCGCAGGAAACGGGAGGAAGTGCTCGGGAGAAGAGTCTGAGGGCGCCAGGACACGCCAGCGTGACAGCTGCAAGGGGCCCCAGGACTCTGCCCCAGACCCTCTGTCTCTCAGGCCAAGGGCCACTGCTCAGGGCTCGAACCAGGGACAAAAAGGGCAGAATCCCTACATGGTCGGTGTGGCCTCTGCAGCAGGCCCTGATCACAACTTCTGCACACTGCTTCAGACTCTCACATTGCTGGGAGGGACCCAGTGTCACCTTTTACAATGAATGACCCAAGACGAACCAAGCTGTGGGGTCGCAGAAGTCCTTAGCACACAGATCCAGTGAAAAGTCTCTTCAAGGGCCATGCCATTTGCTGGTTTTGGGTTGTAGTCCCAGGCTGGCAGGCAGGAGGTGCTCAATAAAGAAGGAAAGGTGGTGGGGGCTAAACGTGAGCTGGGACTGTCTACTTTCAGCCTGAGCTCTAGCTCTTTGGTCTATAAATCTCCCTCCCTCCTTTCCTACCTTCTTCCTTTCCATTTCGTTTCATATTTAGTGATATCAGTTTTGATATAGTGTATTTGATTGTAAGTATAGACATGATATAGTTAATTCTCAATAATGCCTGCATTTAACAACTGGCTCACAAAATTCCTTTCCTTTTCATGTTTTTGTATCTCTTCCTGCTGAGGATTCCTGAGGCCCCCCGTGAGCCAGGCCTGCTCGCGCTCTGCCTTCAGCGGAGAGGGACGGGCAGGCCCACTCTGGCTGAGCCCTGCCTGTGTCTTCCCACCCCGAGCTTATAGGACTCCGCTGTGCTTCCCCTGAGCCAAAGAGGTCAGTCCTCACGGCTGGCTCCCCCGTGATCCCACCTTCCACGTGGCCCCACCCCCCAGGGATTGCTTGGCAGGGCCGGGAGCCTCTGGGAGCCGCAGGTTCTCACCTGCCTGGGCAGCCTGCTGTTCTTGAGATGGGCCATTCTACGCACACGGGCAGCTTAGAAATGAAAGTGCCGTTAGCTAAGCTGCGTTATGAAGGACTACACGGATGCCCTTCAGTGGGCAGGTGGTTCACCTGTGGTCCTGCCATGCTGTGGAAGGCTGCTCAGCCATCAAAGGGCCGGTGAGGGAAGAGGACCACCCAGAACTGGTACCACAAGGGCATTTACGTAACATCCTTGAAGTGGTACATGTGCAGAAGAGGAGGGTGGGTTGCTGGCCAGGAGCTGGGGGTGTGGTGGGGTGAGAGGAAGTAGGCACTGTGGGGGTCTTTGGTGTGGGAGGGTCTTCCTGTCTGGGCTATGTCACATTCTGTCCTGGTTGTGAGACTGTGATATAGTCTTGCAGGGTAGAAACTGGGTGATGGGTACAGGAACTCTCTGCATGATTAAAACTACAACTATCTGAAAATAAAAGTTCATCTGAAGAAGAAGCATTGGCTCAGCCGCCCACTCTGCCAAGCCAGGACTCGGGACTCTGAGGAAGAGGAGGCAGACTTAAGGCCCAGGTGGTTGGGGCTCACGTACTGGGAATCTCCTCTGTGCTGTGAATGGTCTCTCACCTCAAAGGCTTTGTGTCAAGGTTGCTCTTTCCCCGTCATGGCTGCTCTCGTAGGCCAGCCCACCCCCAGAGCTGTGAGCAAGAAAAAGGCCCTAGGTCCCTGCTGCCCACCTCTCTGGGGAGGGCCCAGGTGTCAGGTGGTCTTGTTGCCTCCATGTGCCTCCTTCAGAGTACAAGTGGGCAGAGGAAGGGATGGGGCGTGGCAGGACCTCAGGACCAAGGCTTGTAGTGAACAGTGGGGGATCCTGGGCAGGGGCCACTGCCACGTGTGGTGGCCATCCTGGACAATCCACCACAGGCTCAAGAGCGGCTGGCAGGGCGGCGGTGGGGGGCAGGCTGGCATCATCCTTCAAGTACAGGGATGAAGCCCCTGCTGAGCTCACCCCTATCAGGGAGGCAAGGTCAACACGTGGACACAGCAGTGACATCAGGTTGTCCATTCACTAAGCCTGACTGATACCTGAAGCCCCCAAGCATGGTGCTGATGCCCATGATGGAGCTGGGGTGGACGCAGCTAGACCACTTAGCAACTGCTGGTCTCGTGGAGTCTCCTAGAGACCTCTGTGCAAACTCTCTCCAACCAGCGGCACATGTGACAGACACCAGAGTGCCTGTGTGGCCAGCAGGAGCTCCCTGTTCTGCTGTGGATGGTGTGGCCAGGCCAGGACAGGGAGGAGAGGGAAATCGCCCGAACCCCATGGGAGCCTGGAGAGGGGCTGGCACAGGAGGCATTTTGGCTACAAGGGGCTGGGCCCAGCCTCACCTGAGTTCCCAGCAGTGAAGACAGGACAACAGGCCTGATCTCAGTTTCTCTGGCCCTGGAGCATGGCCTCCAGCCACAGCACAGTGGCTCTGTCCTCAGTCCCTAGCCCACCACCTCTGAACTCAGTTTCCTGTCCTCTGAGTCCGACGTAAAAACAAGACAACCAAGTTGAGAAGGCAGCCACGGTGGGTCTTACCTATCAGAAATCCAGACAAGACCCCAGCTATGGTCCACAGGCTGCTCCATGAGGCCCCCTGGAGGAAGTCAGTGGCCAGCACCAAAAGAATGATGTCTTCCAGCAGCATTACCTGTGGGACCAAGGCAGAGCCACCACCTGTCAGAACAAGGCAGAGCCACTGCGCCCTTCCTGGATCTGCAGCTCTTCCTTGCTGTCTCCAGGGTGCCCAGGCCGAATGGCCCCTAGAAGCAGAACCCTCATCCTCAAGGGAAACCTCTCTGCAAGGGAGAGCCTCCTAGCATTGCTCATTAAAATGTCAGAGTCACAAACACTGGAGCGGCTGTGGGGGCTCCCTAGGGCAGTCAGGCTGGGCTGCTCTTATTCCCACCTCTGTCTCCCGCCCAGGCTGGGTGTAGGCAGGGACTCATATCGTAACACGATAATGAAAGCCATGTGCAGAGCTCAGGGTGTCACCGAGCTCCAGTAAGCTAGAGTCACAGACTTTCATAACAAGTCTAGAGATTTCCTGTAAACAGGAGCACCTTTAAGGGTTAATTTGTTTTGCACCACGCAGTGGCAGTGGGGGAGGGGATCTCCCTGGCTGGAAACCGGTGGCTGGTGGGCTCTCCCAAAGGCACCTGCCTCCAGGCTGGCCTGGCCTATCAACTTGTTTCTAATTTTTAAATATAAAAAGTAAATTTTTATTGAAATATGTAAATTAACAGCACATAATTCAAGATTATACAGATGGTCCTTGATTTACCATGGGGTTACCACCCAATAAACCCACTGTAAATCGAATGTTGCTAAGTTGGAAATAAGTCTGAGGTACCTCACCTCCCAAATACCCTAGTACAGCCCAGACTGCCAAGTGTGCCTAGAATACTTACCTTCCCCACTTGGGCAAAGTCAGGTAGCGCCAAGCCCGCTTATAGGGAAGAGTGGACTGTCTCACGTAACTTAATAGTGCATTAAAAGTGACAGAATGTCAGCATGGGTGCAGCTCTGCTGCACTGCAAATCAAATAATAGAAGTTGGGACCATCTGTACACTTCACTGCTGACCGTAAGACATAGGAAACTGAGTTATAGCACTGACATGCTCAGAAAGTCTTCCAAAGATTTGCCCTGGTGATTCACTGGCTTCATCTTAATCCAGGAAACTCAAATAAGTCGAGGGTTAAAAACTCTTAGGAGCTGTTGTGGGCGGGGTCTCAGCAGCCCCTGTGAAAACCTGCAGTCTTTCACTCTGACTCCTGACAGATGTCTGGTTGGTCCACAAGTCTGGTGGAAGGCAGACTGGTCCTCTGGGCGCCTTCCACCTCAGTGCTGTGATCCTCTGCCTGTGGCCCTTACGATATCTGGGCCTGACCTGGGCCTCCCTCTCCAGGGGCTTAGGGATGGGACATGGGCTTCCAGGAGTGGAGCCGTCACCATCCTTGCCTGAGGGACACCTGAGAAGTAAATGAATAGGGGGACAGTGGAGTGCAGAGGCTCAAAGGCCCTGTGGATATGGCCCCTGGGGCCTCACGGCTGTTAGGGGACAGATGAGGATGGGGGATCACAAGGTAAGAGTAATTCTGTAACCACTCCCCCTCCGTGCTGACGCCCATATGCATTCTTTTCCTCAGTGGACAGGATACGTCACCTTCCTCAGCAGACTACCTGTTGTTCACTGCAGGGGAAATGCAGGCCCAGGAGAATACTGATGGGAGGAACCCGGGAGATTTTTGTGACCAGATCCCAGAACTCTGGGAGATAAGGAAAGTTCTTCCTAACCAGAAAATCGATCTGTGTGTGGTTAAGAATTCAACTAGAGCTGGTCAGCATGAGCCAAGGTGACCTAGAGTTGCCATGACAGGGAAGGCCTGAAAGTCTGATACCGTCCTGCTGTCAGTCGAAAGTCAAGAGGTGGACCTGGGCAGGACTCTCTGGAAACGTCTCTGGGATCCCCAATAAAACTGGAGTTCAGGAGAGGCACACAGTCCCTGTCTTCCCTGAGAGGACCCACCCTCTCCCTTGAGAGTGTCCCCTTCTGCTTTCCTATTCCTTCATTAAACATTCTTGTTACTCTGGGTGACATGTCTGCAATCTTTCTGACTCAACTGCAAGAACTGGGGTTTGAAGAGGGGGTCTTGGTGCTGCCTCAGTTTCTGGGAGGGCCCCAACTCCCTCACCAGGACCCAGTTGGCTCAGGCTCCTGGAGGTCTGAGGCCCCCTTGGGAAGCTGGGTGGTCATCATCTGTATTTTTCTTATAGTTGTTACCGTCTCTGTTGGTGTCTCACCATCTTTTTTAACCGTATTTCCTTTCGAATGTGTACCCCCCTGGAGTTTGCCTGCTAAGGCTTGTGACGTCTGTCACGTGTCTCGCCTCCATTTATCGGTTACTTTGTGCCAAGCTACTTATGCTACCTGTTGTTTGCTCTTCATAAGGCCCTTGGAAAGTAGATGGGTCTTGCTTGTCACAGGAACACTGAGGGACAGGTGGAAAAGGCTGCGAGGATCTGAGTTCTGGGTCGTGACCAGCAGGGCTGGGGTTCAGTCACTCGTTAGCCTTCGAAACCTGGGGCCTGCCCCCTGGGCCATATTGTCTCTGCTCTTCACAGTGCAGCTCAACCTTCACCTTCTGGCCACCAATGGGAAGCCGTGCTGCTAGGTCCTCCAGGTTTTTCTCTCCTGCCTTGCCCACATTCTGCCTCACTATCATGTGAACTTACCAATATGAATTTTTTTAAAAAATGGGTAGAAATTTCTTCTGGAATAGAAGCAACCTGAAGACTGACATCAGGCCACCTTTGAGATTGTCACCCTAGGTAGGACCGCATCTGGAACTCGGTGATAAACACCTGGTAAAGACTGAGGTGATGACCAAGGCTGTTTTGTGGGACGAGGACCTGCAGGGACCCTCAGCAGACAGCAGAGAACACACCAAACACGCCTTTGCCACAGTGATGCTCTGGTGGCACCTGGACGTCGGCTCAGTATTTTCACAGCCCGTCGTCTCCATTCAAGACTAATTCCTTTTAGAATTTTCCTGTAAACCATGCCAGTCCTTCTTTCATAGCTGTGTGCACACTCACGCTCCTGTGCACACAGACACACACACACACTACAGGCCACACACATTCTGGGAGAGCCGGGATGAAAGAGTGCCCCCATTGCACTTGCCGAGTAGAAGGTGGCCATCCTCCTTCTGGAAGGGCTGTCCCAGAAGTCGAGGTAGCAGAGGATGTACACGGCCCCCGCCAGCAGGTTGAAGAGTCGCCAGTGGCAGGTGCTGTCGATGATGTCACTCTGCTGGGCTACGAGCCAGAACGTCATCACCAGCCAGTGGGCACCTGGGGAGAGGTGAGCGGTGGTGGTCAGGGTCCTGGGGGGAGGTGGGGGAGGGGGCAAGAACACAGAAGCACGGCCTGGAAACCTCCCTCTCTGCTTGGGCTGCACTTGCCCCAGCATCCAAGAACAGACACCAGAATCCAGAAGAGAGTGGAGGAGTGGCAAACCGGCCAGTCCAGCTCTGCACCTATCACCTCTCGAGCCTCCCAAAGGGCACTGGCCTAGTCTGGAGACTCGGGAACAAAGACGAGCTGCTGCCCTCAATGGCACATGTCAGATGTTACGTACCCCTGCCTTTTGGGTTCCAGAAAGTTTTTAAGGAGGCAGTTACAAAATCGACTCTACTATTTTAAAATTGTTACTACATGAGCCAAAACCCTCCATACCCACAGGGAAGGATTCTATGTGGTCCAGCTATAGTTTTTATGCCTATATTTTAAGATGAGTAATATCCTTCTAGAGTTAAAGCCGAGTTTTTAAAAGGATGAATAAAAACATCGTTAATTTCTCTTTTGGAGCAAGTCCCCCCCCCCCCCAATAACTGTATCAAATGTTTGTTCTGGGCCCAAGAGCCAAATATCTCTCAATGTCTCCAGTTCCCTTAAAACAAGAGTACACTGTTCTTTCTTGCAGAGTGTATTCACTGATGACCAGAGGAGACTGCTGTCCTTGGCAGAGACACACAGACCCCATTCAGGAGTGTGCAAGGCCAGAGAGACTCCCTGTCATCACTGTGCATCTCTGTGTGCCCTGGACAGAGGGCTGGGGTTCTGAAGAGCTGTCTCGTTTCAGACAGAGACAATGTCAGAGCACTTTCAGAGACTATAAGCAGCTTCTCATAACTTGTATATTTTTGAACTGGGTCAGGGCAATGGGACCCCAGACCTCCCTCCTGTTTGAATGGCAGTTTTTCTAGGGAAAGATTTTAGTCTCTGATGTAGAATGGTGTCTATGCCCTGGGGGTCCCTAGGACTTTCGAGGCTGGGATATGTAAGCTATGGCGAGGTCTCTCCAGAGCGAGCTGCATGCCCTCCTTCCCACTCCACGGCCCTCTGGGAGCTGGGGTCTGCGTCTCCACACAGGGGGATCTGGGCTGCCTGTGGCTGCTCGGACCAGCAGAGCCCAGCGGAAGCAATACTGAGCCAGTTCTAGGCCTAGCTTTTAAGAGGACTGGCAGGTCCTACTTCCTGTCTTGGAATTCTCAGCTGCCAAGGGTGAGTCCAGGCTACTTTGTGGAAGAGCAAGGCCATGTGTGCACGCAGCCCGCTCCAGCCTCCCTGTGAACCCAGATGCCTGCTCTCCTGCTGCAACCACAGGCGACCTCTAAGCAGGAGCCACCGGCCCAGCCAAGCCAGCCCCAGACCTGGGGCTCATGATCATCAACAGTATTTCTAAGACATACTGCTCTGTGGTGTGGTGTTACACAGCAGTAGATGACCAGAGCGTGAGATCTGCTTACCTCCAACCACCAGGACCCAAACGCGGTAAGCTCTGCAGAACAGAGCCAGACTCAGGACGCGGGTCCCCAGCATGCCCATCCGCCAGAGCTGCTGGCAGAAGAGGGCAGCCCATGGCATGACGCGGTGGCCTGGCTTCAGGACACCCAGGAAGTGGGTGTAGGACACCAGGGCCCAGGACAGTGAGGACCAGGAGAGCAGGGCGCTGACTCCTGAAAGGGAAGCAAACAGACAGAACATTCCCCACAGGCTCCAAACAGCCACTGTTGAAGGTTCATTGCTTTAATGGGACATATAACCTCTCATTAAAACCCAGCTCTACAGGGGACACCACTGACCAAGCCCCTTGAAGGTGGAAACATAACAACATAAAGACTTCCCAGCCCCAGGTCCAAATCCTCTGGTCTAAGTTCTGTTTAGAACAAAGCAGATCCTGGAAGATGATGAATGTGGTTCCTTCCCAGGTGTTTTGCTGCTCAATCACTGGATCATGTGAAGGAGATTTAATAAAAAAACTATAATCAGAACATAAATGGCATCAGGCCCTTCGATGAAGATGCATGGAAGAATGATACAGTCCTGTCTTCTGAGCATTTGGTTTATGGACAGGAGGGGGAGGGAGGAGGTGGGTGAGGGAAGGAGGGAAGGAAGGAGAAAGGGAGGGAGGGAGGGAAGGAGAGATTGTGGAAGCAGGAGATGGAAATGTGCATCGGCTGGGATCTGAGTTGTGGTTTCCATGAGGCTCTGGAGTCAGCTCTGGCTGCATTAGGAGTTATTCTAGTGACTAAGGACACAGGGAAGACGGAGCATTCATCTCGCTGAGAACCAGTTCTTCCTGGGGTATTTTCAGGGTCATCTTAAGTGCACAATTTCTATCTTCTGGTCTGATCTTACAGCCTAACCCCCGAGGAGAGCCAGCTCACTGAGAATGCATTGCCCCAAGCAAAGCCAAATGTAGTCCCCTACGGGCTAGTGAGCACAGGATGCCCTCATTCTCCCAGGCAGGGGAAGTCTCAGATGGGAGGGTTTTGCCAACCAGTCACATGTTCATGTCCCCCTTGGGAAGTTGACAGTCTGAGCTCTGCAGCAAGAGGTACTCACCTGGCACAACATCTGTGAAGTCTGAGGCTAGAAAAACATATGTCTGGAGCAGCAGGTGGGGCCCCGTCTGCAGCAGGGCCTCCAGGAGCCGGAGCGCTGACAGGTCAGCCTCCTGCAGCCACAGCTGTCCCCAGTGGGGAGCCTCCTCTGCCTTTGACAGAGCAATTGATGTAGTGTCCCAGTGCCTAAAGAAGAGCAAGGGGCATGGTCACATGGAGCCAGGCTGTGGCAGGACTCAATAGGACAACCTCTTTCATTCAGAGACAGGTAGCATTCTGGGAAATACCCTAGGTACTCCTCAATGTCACCCAAAGTCATCAGTTAGGCTGTCACTGGGCTGACTCCAAGCTGGAGATGTCAGTTCCAATGGGTGTGCCCTGAGTTCTGGTGCTCAGCCAGGCCCAGCCTATGTGCCACAGACTCCCCACATCTGGGAGGGGAGGGGGAAGGCAGGTGAGGAGCCAGGACCCAGTGCAGGAGGGTCTCTCTGAGCAGAGCTGCCACAGGGCAAGGAAACCCAGACGGATAGGCTGGCAAGGTTTGAAGGCAACTCCAACTGACTCCCCTGCCCCAGAGCCTCTTGGGATGGGAATCAATTCCTTCAGCAGCTGCCTGCTCCAAGGTGCTGTGTGTGCTCATCTCTTTAGAGCCCAGAGAGATGAGAAAACCCTCATCCTCACACTCATGGAGTGCAAAGCTTTGTGTGCCCTAAAACTGTGACACACAAGAACCTTGTGCCCTAAAATTAAGACACCCAAGAAGCTGGGGGGCTGTTCATGCTTAGGGGCCAGGATGAGAAGGAGAAGCCGCCCACATGCACACATGCTCACGTGCTTGCACACACACACACACACACACACACACACGTGGATGGAGGAGAGTCAGGCTGTCAGGTGGAGCGTGGAAACCAGGCTGAGGCAAATGGGGAACCAGAGGCAGCTGGAGGCAGCTGGACAGCTGCTAGCAGCCTGGGGGACACAGAAAACAGCAGAAGGGATGAGCCCCCTCACATGTCTGTCGCACCGGGCTGCGCAGGACCCCAAGGACACTTCAGCTCAGCCCACCTGGGTAACCTTCCTAGGGTCTGGAAGGGGGTCAAACACCAGTGAAAGGACTTAGAATGCTCTTTTCTCATTCTGTTTCCCATAAATCCATCCCAGAAGCCTCTTCCTCATATTCTCATCTTCTGAAAGCTGTCTATAATGTGGTGTGGGGCACCTGCTAAACTGCCCAAAGGGCCCCACGGAATATATAACAACCATGCCACTCCCTGGTCACACTTGGAGGTTCAGTGGACTTGGAGTTTCCATTGGTGATGAGGTTTCTATGCATAGCAGCAACAAGGGAGGTGACCACTTGCCTGCTGTGTGGGCAGTGGTGCCTACAGCTCCATTTAGGAGCAGAACCTCCTTGTCTTGTCCAAGTTCAGAGACACAGTTGAGCAACCCCTGGGCCAGAGCCAATGTCCCTGGAAGTCCACGGGGGAAGGCTTCCCAAGCATCTCCCTAGACTCTGCCAGACAGGCAGACTCTGATCTTTGGCCAGCTCTGCTATGTCCAAGCAGAAGGTAGGGGGTCCCCTTTGAAAGGGTTTTACTTGCAGTGCTGAGGGCCTAGGGAAGATGCTTAGGGAAAACAGTTTTCCTTTTTCATGATTTGGAATCCTGGAGTGAACTGATTTCTTACTGAGTCTTTGAAGCTCCGATTCTGACACAAACTTAATGTTAAGAAAAAACATATGAAACCCCAAAAAATATAACCAGAAAAATGAACCATGTTCACTAGAAGCTTATGATTCAGTTTTGGAAAGAAAACACACGTGAAAGGATTGAGGAAGAAACCATCAAAATGAGCAGTGAGGGTGGAGGTGGAGTCCGAGTCCTGGGTAGGGGGTCAGGAGGTCTAGGAGGGCTCTCTGCGGGGAGGATGGCAAGGCCTGGTTGGGCAGCTGAGGTGGGAGGGAACCTAAAGGAGTATGTGGGGGCAGTGGGAAGGGTCCGTGTCTGGGAACTGTCAAGAGTCTGGTGGAACAGAGGGTGGGGCAGATGGTGAAAGGTTCCCGGGTGTGCTGAGGCTGCTTCCCTCCAGGATGCGGACGGCCTGAGGGAGGGCAGCCACCCAGGTTTTGTGACAGTAGGTCACTGGGGGCCCTGGGGAAAGCTGGGGTGATATGGAAGGTGCAGAGATCTGGCTACCTGGTCCTGAGATTCAACCTATCTGTCCCGGCCACAGCACACCCAGGCCCCCACCTGCTCTGGCCTGGGTTCTGAGAGCCTCGGCCGACTGTTGCTAGGGCAGCTCTTCCAGGCACAGCCTGCCACGGTGGTCTCAGTTCTCCCAGGGCTTCCAACTGCAAGCTCCTTAGGCTACGACCAAGGTCCCTCTACCCTGGTACTTTCCCTGCTCTAGAGAACACCCTCTTATACTGACTACAGACGTCTACTCCCCAGACAGAAGTTTCTGGCAGCTGCCGTGCCTTTGCAGCAACACTGGCGGCTTCCTGGGTCAGAGCCGCCTCCCCTCCCACGATGTGAGAACCTGCAGAGGCGCCAGGACCGGACCTCAGCGGGTGTAGGGACAGTGCTCTGCCTTCTGTGTGGAGGGCAAGTCTGACTCTTGGGGCTCTGCCGACATCCTTCTCTCAGCTCTGTTCCGAACTCAGCCTCAGAGACTGCACTCACACAAGTCACTAACCATGAACAGTCACCCACCAAGCGTGCCGAGCCCTGTGGATGACGGTCCAGGGTCCTGGTCGCATTAGGAACACAGGCTCCACACAGAGGCTTGGAAACACAACCCATCAGCCTAACTTGTCTTTAGAATTCAGTTTCTCAGCAATCTAGTCTTTCCTAACTAACAAGTAAGCATGAAAATGTGTCCACTACAACTAGAGTAGTCTATCTTGGGCCCAAGACATGGAGAATAAGTGATTTTTTTCTCCAATGTAACATTCCTGGGGATATTGGCCCTGTCAGCCTGCAGCTCAAGGTTTTGACTAGAGCTGTGTTTTACGTACTTTTTAAGTATTCAGTCTCCACCCATCTACACTGAGCTTATCTTACACGCCCTTAAAATTTGCCTCTTTCTTTTAAAGTACTTTTAACTTCTAAATGTGCTAACACAGAATGCATGCTGAGGAAATTAGCTAGGGACTCTTCTACCAGCTTACACTGAGTTTCAATTGAATTGACAGGCTTTAAAAATTGTTAAAAAGATCTTGGTGACATATAGTAGTAGAAGGGACACAAAAAGCCCAAATAGAAAAAAAGTAGCTCTTTGTTTAAACAAGCTGCTACTAATGTCAGGTTTGAACAGTCAGATTTAACATGAATATAGTTTGTATCATTTTGTGTTAAAAAAATTCAGCAATTTTGTTTTAAAGCCCTGAATTTTTATAAGCAACTTTCCTCAAGTTGGTTGTGTTTTATTGATTGTTCTGTTTTTGAAGGCTCCTCTGCATTTCCTTATGGAATCACTTCCTGTGGGCCACTGGGATCCAACTCAGGATTGTGCAAAATACCACTGTTTTGGCTCCCCCTACAGGTGACTTACCAAACTGTGATTTTAAAAAAACGATTTGCTTTAAAAGACTACTTTTACCATGTTTTCTTTGTGAGAGCTGAAAGTGCTAGCTTCAGAATAAGGAAAAGATTCTTATTTCTATTTTCAAATCTCCCTACTAAGGAAGTAGATTTCTGTGTTTTGGCTAATTTGTAATCTCAGAAAACTTGTAAGCTGGGTAGTTTCTTATGCTTATACTGTCATGAAGTTAGAACCAAATTTCTGGCTTGTTATACAAAGTGCCCACTCTGGCTTGATCATGTTCTAATATTTTGCCCCCTTTTCTGGCTTTTATTGTTTCTTTTTATTCGCTCAACCCCCCCTTTTAAAATTTTTTTGTGTTCTTTTAAATTATGTGTAAATTTCTTTGGTTACCTTCACTTCTTTATAATGATCAGATACACGTGACTAGTTGTCTTTCCTAGCTCCTAATTTTTGCATCTCTCTTCACTTACCCATGCTAATTTTCAGTATATACCAGAATATCAGTGTGCTTATGGAGGTTCTGAGAGCCCAGGGGAAGAAAAGAGGATGGAGTCCACTGTCAAATACCAGTACCAAGAATCTGGACATGCCCTGGGCCTCTTGCATCCCCACCTCTGAAGAAGGCTCTAGATGAGGTGGGCCTGAGGCTGCCCAGAGTCTCAGAAGGCACATCCACCTGACAATTACTCGGAAGGCTTCTCCTTAGCAACTACAGGACAAGTCAACTTCTCAGGCTATCAAACATTTGCTTAGGAAAGCCTGGCTCAGTTTCTCGATAGGTCACTTGCCCCTGAGGTCTCATTCTTGATGACTATGATGGCTGAGGTCAGGAAGAGGCCCGCGGCCCTCCTGCTCTCATTTTGAGGCCAGGCTGATTAGGGAGGGTAGGAGATGCTAGGCAGTGCTCAGAAGAGGCTGCAGGCCCCAAGTTCAGGCAAAAGATTCTCTGCTGCCTCCCAGTCCTCGGTGTCCAGTCCTCCCCGGCACTCTGGCACATGCAGGCCCAGCTGGGGAGACTCTGAGGTGGCTGTGGGTGTGTTTGTGGTGCCTGCTGACACAGACGGCCGACTGCGGCCTGTGACGTTGTGGTGGCTGCCCCATGTCTTTCTCAGGAGCACCTTCCACTCTGGCCTGAAGGTCCTCGGGGTGGGGCAGGCAGCATGCCATGCCCATGTTCTCTCTGGACATGGGGCTCCCACCTGTGAACCTGCCACATACTTGTTTCAGGGCCTTGTGAGAAAGTCCTAGGGACAGTGACTGTGACAGCACAAACCCTCAGAACAGAGAGCAACACTTGGCAAGGGCTCCTTCAATACACTTGGAACTCTTGAACTCTCATGGCCTTGATAAACACTGAACTACAGGCTTCACCAATCTGATCCCTGAATTCTTCTCCTTTACAAAAAGTCCCTTCAGCCCTATGGGATCATTGAGGCTGCTGAGAGCTGAAGTGCACATTTGTGCAAACTCACTGCCACATCTCTCTGACAACTCCCTGTTTCCAGGTGCTCCTGGGAGAAGCCACACCTTGCCTCAGAGGTGGCCTGTGGACCACAGGTAAGCCCACAGCACTAGATACATCTCTGGCAGCTTTTCTGTGGCAAAAACCCTGGTTCTGGCTCCCAGATGACTTCTTCCTTTCACAAAAGCTTGAACAGATGCTGCTGTGGGGTGTGAGGGTATGGGGGTGTTCACTGTCTAGCCTGTGGCTAACTCAACTATGTCACCTTCCTGGACTAAGATAATAGGTGTTCAAACAGAGCTGCCATGAGCAGCTTTACGTGGCTCCAAAGGTTGACCAAAGGATGGACACAACATGAAGACAGAATTTGGCTGAAGAGAAGAAAAAGCTTTCTAAAGGTTACAGATGCATCTAGGAGGGGGCCCTGGTGTTAGAGATGCTGGATGAGGGGATGTCAGTCTCAAGCAGAGGTGTGATCCTGAACTTCCAGGACCTTAAGGACAGAACATATGGACAGAGGTCAGAGGAGTCCCTTCTTGCACCTGGTCAGGCTCTGGAGGTGGAAGGAGGCTGGCTGTTCTTACCGCTTCCAGACGCCCAGCTGCAGGAGGTGCAGCATCACCAACAGGCTACGTCCCAGATGCCCATCTTCTCGGAACCACAGATAGCTCAGGCCCTGGACCAGGAAGCCAGGCAGGAGGACAGAAAACGCCAGCCATCCCCAGAGAAGCTGTCCTGTGGTGAAGTAGTAAACCACAGTACAGAGGCCTGGAGGGACGAGAAAAACCAGAGGGGTTATGGAAGGATAGGGCTGGACTGGGTAACTGGGCTGTAAGTATTTTCAAGTTTTCTGGATGTTACAATGCTCTGAAATCTTACAAAGTCTCTTGGGTGGGAAGAGACTACTTCTCTTAGAGGTAGCACAGGGCACCTCCAAGAGCATGCCTGTGACATGCAGACTGCCCAACCCAGAGCCACCCTCCTCTGTCTGGCCCCCACCCCAGGAGACAGTACTGCTCTGCCTTAGTCATCTCAGTGCCAGGAGTCAGGCGTCCAGGGGTCAAAAGAGCCCAACACACACACAAATCATCCATGTTAGCCTGTCCTAGACTGTCCCCGCTGTGCTTGGTCCTTGTCTAGGAGGCCCCAACCTGGCCTTTCTACCGTGGCTGCTGTCTTCTGCCGCCTGACCACTGTACTTCCTCAGGGGCCCTCTGTAGCCTCCTCCCTCTGGCACCTGTGAGGACAATGAACTTGCTTTCCTCAGCCTCTTGTCTATACACTCGACACTCCATCTCATTAAAAGACAAAACCAAGCAACCTAACCAATCAACACGGTGTCCCCACCGCCAGCAAGACTCTACTAGAACCCTGCCTGGGAGCTGGCAGAGCTGGCTGGCAACCGGGGCAGGCAGAAAGGTGACAGGCCTCTCTGGGGCACCTCCCTGTTACAAGGAGCTACGTGTACCAAGTACCTGGCAGCTAGGATGTGCTCTAAGTGTGCCGCCTCCTCTCTGGGACATGGTGCAGAGGACCAGCACTCCCCTCCTCACAGGGTCCTCAGTCACCCTGCACTGCTGCCCACCTGCTGGCCTTTATCCTCCCAGCTAATTCGGTGAGGCAGCCTCCTCCACCTGTGCAAACGTCAGCACCTCCCCACCGCGGCTGAGGATCCTATGAGGCTGGTAATGGAGGCAGCAGCGCTGGTGGACACGGGGATGCCCAGTAACTCTTTTAAATCACTGTTACTTGGATTTTACAGTATTAAAGTTTAAGTGGGTCTATGAGCACAAGCCATGAATTTCGGTGGCAAATGCACTGCCCGGAGGAACAGCTGGGAGTCGTGCAGCCCCAGCAGAGGCGTCTGGGCCCTGGGCTCTGTCCAGCGGTCTAACCGCCTGCGCGTCCCGCCACACACCGCCAACCCGGGCCTGCCCGTCCGGTTTTAGCCCTCCCCTGCCGCAGGGCAGGAATTGGGAGTGCTTGGGTAGGACCCCACCCCGGCTCCTCCAGCGCCACTTGGAGAAAGCGCTGCGGGTGCGCCCGGGGACCTGCGAGGAACCGCGGCGCAGATCAGAGAGAAAATTTCGAGTCAGCGCCCGGCGGGTCCCGAAGGCGTGCGTGATGGTAGCGGGCGCGGAACCTTCTTGATCCTGGAGCCTCCCTAAGGCCACCGACCCGCTCCCCAGAGGCGGGCTCGGAAGTCTGAGAACCGGAGGCGTGGCGGAAGTGGGCGGAGACACTCCTCTCCGGCACCGAAAGAGTTACACGTTCAAACGGGAAGGGCGCGAAAAGTATGGCCGTTTTGCTTTGCCTTCACTCGGCGGTTGGGTTCCCCGGCAGTCTCGTCTGCCCCACCCCAAACCCCAGTGGGAACCACTGTCCTTCAGGCCCTGGGTCCCCCAAGCCCTCGGCTCCCGAGCGGCCTCCTCGCTTCAGGCCGGCCGGGGCGATGGGGAGAGGCGGGGCGCATCTCGCACCACAGCACTTTGCCAAGCGCGTGGACTAAGAATTCTGGAGGGAGGGCGGGATGCCAGTCCGCCTTTTCCGGCGGGGGAATCCCCCATCCGTGGGCGACCCCTGGATCCGCGGAAGGGGTCATGCATGGGTGGGGGGAGGGGTGGAAATTCATGCAACCGCCGGGGGACCGTGCATTCCTGAGCGCTCTCGAGCACCGGCGGGGGGTTAGGCATCCGCGAGGGCTCTTGCAACCCTGAGCGCCCACTAAGGATTGGCGGGCGTGCTCCGCAAGCTGGGAGGAGAGCCAGCATGCAAGCACCCGCGCGCAGCGCTCTGCAGGCTGCCCCAGCGGGCAGAGTGGGGTCTGCGCCCCCGCCGGCGCGGGGGTGGGGTGAGGGTGGTGGAGGGAGCACCCGCCGGCGCCAGCCGCGGGCTGCGCTGCACTCACGCGCGCTCTGCTCCGCCGCCTGCAGCAGGGCGGAGAGCCCCAGGAGCCCCGCGTGCATCCTCCAGCCTGCCCCGCCGCCTGCGCCCGCCCCTTCCCCTGTCAGACGCCCCTAGTCGGGGAGGTTTCCGGCCTGAGGCCCGACTGCGGGAGGCATTTCGGCCAGAGCAGTTGGGCGCACGGGGGCTGGTTCTGGTTTATGCCAAGTTGCTAGCAGGGGAGGGAGGGAAGGAGGGAGGAAGGACAGATTCCCAGTGGGGAAGTCCCGTTTAGGTCTGGCCCCTTGATCTGGACGTAAGGAGAAGTGCCCTTTTCGTGGGTCCTGGCCCTGGGGTGCTGCTGAAAGCAAGTCCGGGAGAGGGGCGGGAAGGAACTGAATTAGAATCGTTAATTGGATCTTTGAAATCTTACAATTATGTGGCCAGAAAAACGCAGGGCGCGTTCCGTGGCATCTCACCTCCAAGTCCTTCCCAGCCTCTGCTCACAGAAGCTCTCCCCTTCCGTCCTTCAGTTTCTCTTCTCTCAAAAACCTCATTGCCCTGTTCGCTCTTGCCTACCTCCCACCTTATATTCACTCTCAACCCCTTTCCAGTTTTCCTCTCAAAGGGACTATGTGGCCGCATGCACGTGGAAGCAGTACTGTCATGCACTAGAATATGAATATAAAGTTGAAATCACGTACAGAAATTAGGATGAGGAATAAAGGCTCTTCTTGGTTGGTGAGAGATCCGCGTGATGTTCTGTACCTCTGTCAGCATTTCAATTTTAGAAAAAATTTCTCTCCAAATCCTAGGTATTACTGGAGGAACACACATGTGTCCTACATTTCCTATGTTAAGAAATCTAATGATTTAAAAGCTGGATGGTGAGGCTTTGCCTTGGGACAGCAGCAGTTTGAGTGAGAGCTAAGATCATTGTCTTTGGCCTTGAAGCAAATGGAAGGGTTTTGGAAAGAGAAGCAGAAAAAAGAGTCACAGAGAAAGGGCTGAGTTGCTACCTAACCACCTCCAACTTCCCTCTGTGACTGCCCTTGACTCAGCTTTTTTCCCTGAGCCACTTTCTTCTGCAGTCACCTTGGATTACAGGAACAATAGGCCTGGTCCAGGAGCCAAAATTACTTCCAAGCAGTGGCTCCCTAAGTGGGAGCAGTTACCCCACGAGGACACCGAGGCTGCTTCCTGCCCCCCAAACCTGCCTTCTCACATGGGAACCATGTCCCCCTCAAGCCACTGTGACCTGCCCAGAGCTTCATGAGCCAGTCCCCAGACAAGGATCAGCCTGACCAGTCCCTGGCCAGGACCACCCACTCCACAGGCTGTGGGAGCCCTGCAGCCAGGCAAGCCCCCAGTCCGGGCCTTTGTTCCCCTTTTCTGCAATACCTCCAGCCCCTTGAAGATAGATCTTTGGTCACTGATCCTGTTCCTCATCATTGCTGTCTCCTTGGCATGTTGGGGCTGGTGGCTGAGCTGGTCTATTGGGACCCCTGGGGCCAGGGCTTTCAGCCGAGGATTCTGGTTACAGTGACTCCCATCCCAAATCACAGCCGTGAGGTTAAGCAAGTGGGCAGGGAGAGAAGGTGGTGGTGTCTTGTGGAAATCTCTTGGAAGCTAGAGAAATGGATGTTTCTAGGGTGTAAGTCCCCACCCCTGTCCACCCCTCTGCTTCTCCCCTCTTTCTGTGCACCTCCCAGCCAAGGAGTGGAGCTGCTTCTTAATTCTTGAATCTGGCTGGTCTTGGATTTGCTTTGACCAGTACAATGTGGTACTAATCCTGATAAAAATTGCAATAAGCAATTTATTGGAGAAATGGGAAGAGGTAATTCATAGAAAAGAAAAACCTGAAAAGGCCCAATTTACTAAAGAAAACATAATCCAAAACCAAAGAGAATTGAAATAATGCTCAAATCATTAATATTTTGAGAAATGCAAAGCGCAATGTAATCACATTATTGCTTTAGTTAGATTAAAATCATGAACTTGGATGATACTCCAGGGTTCGTCTAGAGCACGAGGTGGCCCCCGTGCTGGGTGGGAGTGTAGAGCCATCCTGAGGAAAAGTCGAATGGTCTGCTTCAAAGCCAGACGCGGTGCTCCACAGTTAGGGTAGTTGTCATTTTAACTTCAGATACACGCCTTGGAGTCTTTGATCATGCTTTTCTTTTTACATTATTGGAATAAAAATGTGCCTTGAGGTTAATATTCTGCTTTTTCAACTCAGTGAATCAGGCTCACAGTCACATAGTTTGATCTGATTCTTATTGGCCTAGGCTTTGTATTCTCCTGTGTTGAGGTGCAGTGATTTTTTTGTGAGCACTGTGTTGGGAATGGAACCCTCGTCGCTAGCGCTCTACTACTGAGCTGCACCCCGAGCCCAACGTGCCCTGATTCTTTACCCTATAGTTGAACATGTACTTGTTTGTTCGTTTGTTTCTTTTTTTTTTTTGTAATGCCAATACTGCTACAATAACCATTTTTTTTGGACGTAGTCCTCCCCTCCCTTTTCTGTTGGAATATGTTTTAAAAGATAAATTTCCAGGTGTAGGTTATTAGACTTTATGCTCCTTACCAAGAGTGCAAAGAATCCTGTAGCCCTTGGTAGTTTGTAGCAATCCTTGAGGGCCTGGACTTGGACGAGAGGGCAGTTGTTTCTCATACTGCTGCTGCTGACCCTCGGATGACCCGTGAGGGAAACATTCTGGGCCGAGGCTTCCAGAGAATCTCCGCGGGTGCCAGGGGAGGGAGCCTGTGCTATCTGCCAGGACTCTTCTCATCCCCACTCCAAGCTATTGGAAGAAATCCTCCCTTTGTCTCGTCCAACCTCCTCCACACCAGAACCGTGGTCAGTTTGCAAGGGCAGGCGGAGTGTGTAGACAGGATACAGGCGCATTCGCACTGCACGATGGGTGTCTCCAAAACACGAAAGCCACGCAGTGCAGGCAGATGTCCGGTAGGTGGCGCCATTGCACCATGTGTTCCAATCCGTCTGAGGCCGTCTAAAGGGAGAAGTGGAAAAACCTGTTTATAAACATATTTGGAAAACAAATCAGTGTGGGAAGAACTGCGTTTTATTTTTTGGTACTGGGGATGAAACTCTGGGGGCACTCCATCACTGAACTATGTCCTCAGCCCTTTTATTTTACTTTGAGACGGTCTTGCCAAGTTGCCCAGGCTGGCCTTGAATTTGTGATCCTTCTGCCTCAGCCTCTGTTGGGATTACAGTAGTTGGGATTATAGGTGAGTGTCACCATGTCCAGGTAAATGAATTTTAATTTTATTAAAATAATCCTTTGTACTTGAAAATCTTGGGTAACTTACAAATGCTTAGGAAACATGATCTCAACAGGCCCTGCCTGCAAGCCCTGGAGTGGGCTGGACCTTACTTGCTCACTGAGATTCAGAGAGACGTTTGCTCTGCCAGCAGAAGCAGAGCCCGGTGTGCAGCCAGGCATCTCCAGAAAACTGTGGCGTTTCACAGCAGGTGCTTCCCGGTGGTGTCGTGGGGTGATAAAGAAAGTCTTTAGACGTTAGAAGAGCTGCACTTGACAGCAGTGGCAGGAATCATTTTCCTTGCTTCCCCTACCTCCTCCTGGGGCTGGGCAGACACCAGCAGAACAGAAGGGCACTTTCTTTGGGGATGGTGTCATTAATAAGCGGGACCCCCCTTTGTCTGCCTTGCATGCTGTGTTCAGCATCTGAGCGGCTTTCCCCAGGTCCTGCAGGTGGTGTGCATGGAGTAGGGAGAGGACTCCAGGAAGACACAGCCTGGGACGTTCTGATCCTGACCTGGGGGCTCTGTGGGCAGCCCACACCCACCTCCTGTACCTTCGGCCTGCCCTCAGCCTGCCCTCTCTTTCTTCATGGCTTTGTATCATCTAATTTGTTTATTTGTTTTCATAATCAGTCTTCCTCCACTAACCAGCAAGCATCTGAGAGGAGGGACTTCATTTGATTCATTCACCCCTGGCCCAGAGGAAGCACTGAGTGCATCTTTGTGGGGTGAAGGCAGCGGTGGCTCATGGATGTGGGATGGTTAGTGCAGAAATCCTGTCCCCTGGGCAATAGCCGTGAGACAGCATTCTCCCTCTCCTGGCCTCTACCTGTTAGGACGGAATGACCCTGTTGCAATGAATATTCCAGGAGCCCAGAGAAAGCCCTCATTAGGAGAAAGGGGCTCGCTTGAAGTCAAGTGAGGGAGTGGGGATGACCCTTCCTGGTCAGCGGGGTTAAGGCATGGGGGGAGGGTGAAGGGGAGGCAGAAGCAGGTGGAAGATGCAGAGGAAAATCTGGTAGCCCTTTTAGGCGAGATTCAGATCAGAGGCGTGGGTAAAGGCCGGTGATTCTAAAATGTTCCTGGAGGAAGCATTTAGACAGACAGGGTGGTGAGGTCGGAAGGCATTGGGGGATGGTTTTGAAGGTGTCCTTGTTCTGCTAACTGTTTTTCTAGTGTAATCTCATTCTTATTTGGGTGGCCATGGGGAGGAGATCATGGGGGTGTGCAGGGCCCTCCCTCCCTCCTCCTTGGTCTTGCCACCCTCTGCATGGAGACATGGCACCTGGAGCAGTACCCAGGTCAATAGCAAGGGGCAAGGTCTGCTTTGGGACCTTCAGGGGTCTTTTGCAGAGAAAATGCTTTAGATCTCCTCCTCTCTAAGTAATAGCCAATACAATATAAATGGCAAAGTATAAAGTAGTCCAGGAAATTCTGATCTTGCCCTTGATGATTCATTGTGCATTTTATTTTTCAACAAAGAGAGCAGCCTTGACTAGAATGGGTTTTTTTTTCTTTTTCCAGAGAACCCTCTGCCTCTAAGGCAGGTTTGGGGTCTTCAGAGGCACATTGAGCTAAGTTAAGGTCCTCACACAACACAAGCCATGCCCAGGGCAGAAGGACCCTGGGTGCTCTTTGTGGTCATTTGCAAGATGGGCCACAAAGAGGACCCACACAGTGTACCACCATACACCCCTTCCTGGAGTGGGTTTTCTGTAGTGTGACCTTGCAGTGTCCCCATCCACAGGTGGCCTCCGTTTCTCCCATTCTGGAGTCTAAGTTGGCCTGCGGACT